AGGACACATTCTCCGTCGTCTACCCCACGGGCTTAGCTATGCTGCCCTCGACCCGGCGCTGCAGCCCACCTGGAAATGTCGAAGAGGAGGGCAACTGAAGACTTGGCTCGACACCGTCCGTCAAGACATGGAAGCAATTCTTGGACCTTCTATCTTCGGTCTCCGTTGCTGGCGAAGAAACTGGGTGGAGCTCTCCAGATCCGCTGCCGCCAATCGTTACGCATGGAGAGTTACCGTTCGTGACATTATTGAGGCCGGCCAGATAAGGCGTGATCATAACCGCAACAAGTACAAGTAATTAAGTACTTAAGAAGGCATGCGTTTGTCCTAACTAATTTTCCAAACCCTCGTAAGCCAAAAAAAAATATTTTATAGAAAGCAAACTTAAAAAATTCTTCTTTATACACATTTTGTAGCAAATTTTATAGTTGTCTTTTATACCTAAATAAGCAGTCTTTCTGTTTCAAATATGATATGGTTTACTGGTTGGTTTTGAACCCGGTTGTTGTACGTACCTTTTGATAGTTTCCAAACCATAAGACGTAAACTCTGCATCTATGAAAACTCATTCATTCCTGTTTCCTATTGAGATAAATTTTGGAAAGGGTAAGAACTACGGTGTATACTCCATAGGGAGCAGAACTAAATGCGTAGATAGGCTGCTACTTGAATAGAAATAAGAACTTCCTAAAAAATCTCATAATTGTGATCCGTTTTAAACCAAAAGTGACCCTTTTTAGATTACGAATTTTGCACACAAAGTGATACAAAAAATATGTGTATGCATGCTTTTCTGATCAAATACGTCATAATTTCTAGGGGCATCGATAAGCAACTGGAAAAAATACGTACTACGTGCGTAGTCGTTCCTCATTAAGTGTAGTTTTCGCAAGCGCATTCAATAGTCGGCTTCCGGACTGACTGAAATATTTTAGCAATGTGCTGCAACTGCGAAATCCTTTTCAACAGGGATCCTGTTTCAGAATGGCAAGTAATCTTTCATGAGTTACACAAGGAGACGGGGAAAGATTTAGAAAATGGCAATCACGTTGACTTTCACGACGGTTGGGCTGGCATCTTAGCAAGGCAATGTAACCCATCACCAAACAAATATGCAGGTCTCAGAGAAGGCAAAAAATTCTGACTCGGTGCCGAAATGTGTGCAGTCCCTAAGATACTTATTATTCTAAACATTATCCACGATTAATGCATGCATGCTAAGTGCACCTTTTGTTTAAGCTGCACACTATGAATGCCCCGATTAGCCACTGTGCTTCCAATCCGCTTTACTTTAAGGCCCACTTTAACTATCACGATGCAGTATAGTTGATGACTCAGAAAAGGGACCAAGTGACTATATAAATCCAGCCCCCCTTCCCCCCCCCATAGCGAAGTTAGGTTCATGAGTGCAATAGCTCCTTCATAATATGACCGTGTTATGACTATCATCTGTGACAGACGTGTCAAGTTCACGCGTTTTGACGGACCGGGATGCGTGTGGCACAAGCAGATGAGAGTTTTACATCAAAGGAGGTCACGCCTCGCCACTGAAAAATGGATAGTGTGGAAACAGAGTATGGGCTAGATGTCGGCAGAAGCTTTTCCCATCGTAGATCAAATCACTACATGTCATCGAATGTATTTGCTGTAATTCGCTCAAAAGGGTTCGTGAACTGCGAAGTGGTCACCTTTTCTTCAGACTGGGCTCCACTATACAAAGAAAGACAACAACGGTGCCTGAAAGCAAGATGGGGGACGAGGGAAAGATGAAAAAGCGGGAGGCGGAGGAGGAAGAGAGGCGTCCGACTAAGTGTTCGAGGCAATACAGGGAAAGTCGGCGGTTGGCTGACCAGACTTAAGCGCCTAAATAAGAAACGTCAGACGACGAATGTTGATGGTTTAGCGAGTCAACATTTTAAGCGTCAAGTAAAATGAGAACGTCCGCACGAGAACCAGGCAACGGCACAGACACTCGCTGTCACTGTGCCGCACAGGAACTAAAAACAAATAAAAGTATCGCAAGGACTAATTTTTATTGTACTGTCCATAGCTGCTACCACCTAGCCTACCTTGGTACCCAGAGCAAGAAGTACAAGCTGCAGGCAGACCCAGGTCTCCCGTTACGGTAGAACTATCCCGAAAGACCAGGCCCTTCAATCGTGTGAGTTTTCCAACACCACAAGAGACTAGAAAAGGCCTACTCTGGCAACGCATAGCACTTAGTGTTCCAGTTTTGTCAAGTAACACGCAGTTCTGAAACAGGAAGTGTGTTAGGGTGGTGCGGAATAAGTCCGGAAAGTAAGATAACATGTGGAGCTTGAGTGGTGGCTAACTACGGCCGAAAGTAACATCGGTGTGCTAAAAATACGGCAAAAATGATTTAAAACATAGCACAGAGAAAACCAAAGGGGCTTACGGGGATAAAGAGAGTTGGAGTATCCTCTCGCAGGCCGAGTCATTATCTTCGTCGTCATCGTCATCACTGAGAGAGGATTCGTTGATGTCATATTCTTCGGCCATCAGCAAGGTACACTCATCAACTGTAGACGTAGCAGGAGCCAAAGACGGATCGCCAGCATCTGCGACGATCGTAGGTTGTTGCTCGACTGCATTATCAGCATTACTCTGAAGTTCCAGTGAGGATACGGCTGGGGATCCAACTTTCGATCGCTCGTCGTCCTTTTCAGCGACAGGGGCATCTGCTGCGCTCTGGGATGATTCAGATGAATGGGGAGATTTCACATCGAGTTGAGAAGCAGCCGAGGTCTGCCCCTTAGTGGTAAAATCGTCCGCGCTCCGCGGTGTTTCATTCTTCGCAGACACCTTGTCGGTGATCGCCAGATCCGCAGATGCGTGCTCTGTGGTAACAAGGTCATCTGCAGCATGACTACGAGCACTGGGCAGCTCTGACCGGGATTCGGGTCCTTCAGCCGGACTGAGAGCAGGTGATAACAGTTCACGTCCTGTGAACTTGATGCGGGGGGAGGACTTTGAGAGCGTACCGCTAGATGCACCATCTCGAGCGTCCTCCATCACTGATAACGGAGTGGCTGACTGAGGACGTGAAACCCCTAATTCGTTGGCGAGTGGTACACCCGATTTCACAGAAACGGAACTTGGCGGCCTAGCTAAAAATTCAATTTCAGACAGCGGCAAGTCTGCAGAGGATATAGATCGTAAGGATGGTTGTGGCGTTGACAATTTGTATGAACCACGGGGAGACTCCTCAAAGACCTCTTGTTTCACATTGTCGGACACACTTTCAACAACCTTCTGATCATTAGACGTGGATGCACGCGGTGTAAACATATCTAAGACTCTGTGCCTAGAACTATCAACGCTGGATAGCTCTTCGCAGGGAGAGGGTGTGTTCATCCCGGCGTCCACAAGGGTCGGGGTGGGAGCTGTGGCGTGGGTGGTAATGCTGGGAAGACGTGATTCCGGCCTACTTTCCAAATCTTCTGGGGAGAGCCTGTCGGAGGGAATTTTGGACATCGTAGTTTGTGGACGACTGACATTAGGAGTTTGATCGTCGATCGATCCAGAGTACTCGGAAAGCATGCTGGTAGGACTCTCAGGAGTTACTTGCTCCTCCTCCTCCTCCTCCCCCGAATGATGACTTCCAACGGTTTCCGCCGACGCCGACGGAACGGGGCAGACATCAACAATGGATGCCGTAGTCGGGGGATTTGTTAGCGATCGGTCCCTCTGGGGGCTCGCAACCGCCGAGCCTGCGACAACAGTGGCCGGCTGAGTCAGGCC